CAGCCATGTGGATGAGTCACGGCCATTGCTTGGCCAATGTGCTCTCTGTGAAAGCCTGAGAGAGTGTTTTCTCTCCATGTGACTCTCCTTACTCACACTCTGCATCATCGATCACTTTCCTTTTTGGCCCCATAATCTCCTTGATCAGAAAATTTGGGACACTACTGAGTTATGTGATGTTGCAGTACAAGTTCTCATATGTCCTGAGTCTTAATTGACTTTGGAAGGCTAGAGCCAAAATGTTGGCTTTCCTTGCGGCCCTCCTTTTACTCTAATTTTGGTCTGCAAACTTAGGTTGTTAACCCTCCAGAAGAGAAGCTTATTGTTATTACCATACAACCTAGGCTGTTAAGCTTAACCTCACTATCTGTCTGAATATCAAACATCTCAGGCATAATATGCAACAGGTATTTTTCATCAAGTACTGATATGCTGAACTTTAAGTCCCTACAGAATATGATGAAAAAACATTTAAAAATTAGAATATATTTTAAAAATAGGCATAAGGAATTATACAGTTCTTATTTTTAAACGTAAGTTCAAAAATCTAACCATATATAACCTTGAAGCAGGACAGACCCTGAAACTACAAAATATATCCTGAGTTCATCCCCTTTTCTTCACATTTACTACACTCCTAGTAAAGACACTATCATTTCTTGCACAAACTGAAGTGGCCCCGCAGATGGACTGCCAACTTCTGCCCTTGCACTCCTGATGTCTCTAACAAGGTGATCCCTTTGTCATTCATATTGTTCCCCTGCCAAAAACTCACCAATGGTACCCTCTGTCGGTAAGACCTGAGATGGTTACTGTAGCTGACAAGACCCTATGCAGACACCTCACTTCCAGCTGCCCTCCGGTCTGGCCTTCCTGCTATTCCTAGAAGCGTCCAGGCAGGCTCCCTTCCTCCTTGGGGCTTTGTGTTTGCTCTTCTACCTGATGTACTTTTCTTACACATCAAGCCATGGCTAGGTCTCTAACTTCTTTAGGGTCTTAATTCATTTTTTTTTTTGGAGGCACTAAGGATTGAACTCAGGCCCTTGCACTTACCAGACAAGCTACTGAGCTACTGCCCCAGCCCCTAGGGTCTTAATTCAAAAGCCAGCTCATCTAGAATTTTAATCCTGTGGGAAACATTTCATATATACCCATCCTTATTTCTTGTTTGTTCTTTCTAGCATTTACTATTATTTACCATATATTATCTTACTTATTGTCTGCCTCAACTAAATATAAGCTTCTGAAGGGCAAGGTTTTAATCTAATCTATTTGGTTTCTTATGAGATCGCCAGCATGTAAAATAGTGCCTGGCACAGAAGAGGCACTCGATCAATATCTGCTTAATGAATGAATGTACCCCGAAGTACATATTAAAATTTAAATAGAGACTTTTAAAAATTGTTGATGTGATTATTCTTTTTCTATGAGAATACATCTCTGAAATGATAAAGACGGTTAGTGGCAAATAATTCAATGTAACAAAATCTGATAGCAAACATTCCTATGAAGTTAATTTGTAAAGGGAAAGTGGCGTTCATTAGCATTTACTACCCATACACAAATTATTATCCTCTCTTTCCCCTTCTTACCTCCCTCCCTTCCCTTTTTTTTTTTTTTTTTGGTGGTACTTGGGATTGAACCAAGAGCTTTTGTATTGAGCTGTATCTCCAGTCCTTTTTACGTTTTATTTATTTTTTATGTTTCTTTTAGGGAAGGGCCTACAGGGTATTCAGGGGCTCGCTACTAGATGGGACTTGCAGTGATCCGCCTGTTTAGAGCCACCCAAGAGCTGGGATCACAGGCACGCGTCCTCATGCCCAGTGTCAATTGTCATCTCAATGTGCCCTGGGGGCGGGCTTTTTATATTTCATTTTGAGAGAAGGTCTCTCTAGGTAGCCCAGGCTCTGCTCAAATTTTCAATCCTCTTGCTTCAGCCTCCCACAGCTGGCACAGAAGGCTTCACAAGGCTTAGTCTATTCATAATAATATTAACTTCAAAACTGTGCTTACATGGAATAATAAATCTGTGGCCATTTCTTCCTCGCATTATTTTGGGTTTGTTCACAGATTACAAACGAAATCAATACCGACCTATCATTAGAAACATAAAACATACCCTCAATTCCCAGTGCTTTTTTTTTTCCATAATTTTATTGAGAAACAAACAGCAATGAGACAGTTTCAAACCAAATTGTTAGGACAGTTTCAATAATTAACACTTTGCTCCCAGTGCTTTAATCATCATGTGGTATCTGCTGTAGGAATGTCTTTGGAATAAGAAAAGCCTGGATGTAAATCTTGGATTTTACTAACTGTGTAATTTCTGGTAAGTGATCCAGAAGGTAAATATCTTCTGGATAAACGAGATAATATCTATTTCATGAGAACTGGGAAGAAGTAGACTTCCTAAACAAACAATAAATATCACTAACCTCCATCCCCTTCACTGTAATTAGGTAATTATATTGCTGTCAAAACTTCTTTGGGTGGGGCTGGTGAGATGGCTCAGTGGTCTAAAGCACCTACTTGGAACAAGCTAAGCTATGCAAAGCAGAGGGACCACGGTTCAATCCCCCAGCACCACATGCCAGCTAGCCCCGCCCCCTGGTGGGCTGAGCTGGCCACACACACACACACACACACACTAAATAAATAAATGTTTAAGAAACAA